GTAGTGAAAACTGATCAGTTACCTTCTAAAAAGTGTATTGTGAATGAACCTGTGTTTTTCACTTCATAATATATCGACGCTAATGTAGGGCTGCTCGATTATGGCAAAAATTATAATCTCGATTATTTGGGTCAATAATTGTAATTGCGATTATTAAATGCAATTTATTCATTGACTTTGAAAACATCAATTTATTGGATAAAAAATGTTTGAACAGAATGTTTTTAACAGTTGATTACCCTGAACTTTAAGTATAATTCAACTGAAAAACAAACAAAAAAGTAATAATTAAAAAATAATCGTTTTATTTCGATTATGTTGTTTTCGTAATCGTTGCAAGCCATAATCGGAATCGCGATCAAAATACGATGAATTTAGCGCCCCTACACTAATGCACATCATATACATATCTTGCAAACTCTTTAAGTGTTTAAATAGAGTAATACAAACATCTTTGCTACATTATAAAAATGGTGTGTTATGTTTTCTTTGAATGTTTAACTCAAAATGTGTGGCACTAACTCAGTAGCCCTGAAACTGACAGTGGTCTTAAGAATATAGCTCTTTCTCCAATTGTGTTCCAAGTCAAGAATACTTTTAAATTGAAGCTGTTTTCTTTTCTGTTTCTATTGTAGGTGTTGCAGAACATTTTAGAAACAGAGACAGACTATTCCAAGGATCTTCAGAGCCTCCTGACCAACTACCTACGACCTCTTCAGAGCAGCGACAAGTACGAATAATTTAAACACAAAGCTAAATGAAACCACACCTGGTCCTTTTAGCATGATTGTTGCACATCTTGTACATCAACAAGTCTTGGATCATTACTTGACTTTCTTCCGCCCGTCACTGAATATAAAGTCACCATTTTGCTTCCCCCCCCATCGTCTTCCTGCAGACTGAGCAGCTCCGACGTGGCTCTGATTCTGGGGAACCTGGAGGAGATCAGCACCTTCCAGCAGATGCTCGTCCAATCGCTAGAGGAGCGCACCAAGTTAGTCCCTCCCCCCCTGCACACACTGCCCCACTGCAGCAGCATCTGCACTATTTCATAATAAGCAGAGGGACATCTAGTGTCGGGCCAGCTGTACTGCGCCGATGTTGGATTAAACCATAGAATAGAATTTGTCATATTTTTGGCCACAGTATTTGCCTACAGCTCACTAAAAAATGGTGAGTATTATTATTCCTTCCCGCCGCCACACTGCTTCTAAATGGGCGAATGTCATGTTTAGGTTTTTGTACATTATACATTACTCTAATATATTATAGTGTATAGTCTAGAACTGCTCTACATGAAAAGTGTCATGAGACCGTTTCTGTTATAATTTGGCATTAGATACAATTGCATAACTTAAAAAATCCATATACTTCTGTTCTATTTTTCTTGTGTGTGTGAGTTTTTAAAGAAGTTGTTAATAAACTAGTGATGTTTTCTTTTCTTCAGGCTTCCAGAGAGCCAGCAGAGGGTGGGGGGTTTCTTCCTGAACCTCATGCCGCAGATGAAGGCCCTTTATGTCGGTTACTGCTCCAACCACCCGTGTGCGGTCAATCTGCTCACCCAGCACAGGTACGTTTAAACATTAACTACCGTAATTTTCGGACTATAAGGCGCACCTGAATATAAGCCGCAGCAGCTAAATTGAATGATGTGTACATATATAAGCCGCACTGGACTATAAGCCGCAGGTGTTTTAATGTTTAATTACCATATGTAAGGGTTCGTGCACAGAGGGGATTGTCGGGAAAGAGATGGCTGTTTGAGGAAGCTCCCATTTATTAACATTTCAACAAACAAGTTGCATATTTGCATAACGTATTCAAATGTTACCATTTAGTGCAATAGTAGCTACAGAACATGTGCTGTGCTGTGTAAACTGTACTGTATCACATAGCGTTTCAGACACACAAACTTTTCAACTTTCAAACTTAAACGGTGCGCTCCCAGCGCAC